CCCCCAACACATTCAAAGGATCAAGCCCAGAAGGATGCACAGACAACTATGGTTTGCATGCCCTGCTGAAGGACCCTAGTAATAGGGTGTTTGGAGTTCGTCGATCCCCAAGTCTGCACAAGTAACGCTAGCTTGTTGTGCAACGACCGGTGGTGGGAGTATAACCAGAGATACTGGAATATAATGACCTCTCTGGTATAACTTAGCTAATGACGTTAGACAAAGTTATTGCTGGTTATGTAGGTAGTTATCTTTTGGTAAAGCGAGGCAGGCTAGCTAACTTTAGCTAGCAAGGCAGGCTAGCTAACATTTTAGCTAACATTAGCATAGCTAGCTAACTAGCTAGATAACTAGCGAGCTAGCTAGGTACCTAAATTAGTTAGGTTGTAGCTCAAACAACTTTATTGTATTGTCTAGATACTGCTGGTTATGTAACGTTATCATTTGATAATGCTAGCGAGGCAGGCTAGCTGGTTACAGGCTAGCTAACGTTAGCTAGCTAGTTAGCTAGCTAATGCTAGCTAGCTAATGTTAGCCTACAAGTCAGATTTGCAAGTTAGTTAGTAGCTCATACAAGTGTATTCTGTAATGGATAATGGATGCAGCTATGGTGGTAGCTTACTCATGTCTGAGTCTGACAAATACAGTGAACTAGGAGAAACAAACCGTAACATCGTCACCGGGCTGAATCTAATCTAATCTGGAGCTACAGTCAGTCTATCTCTAAAGCATAGAATTAGCTTGACCAGAGTTACTGCCCTGATGACACAGACAGCTTTATCAACAACGGTAATGTGTCTTATGTGAAAAGTTTTGATAAACTAGTAGGTTAATTACCCAGCCAAGCAGATACAAGTAGTAGAGTTATTTTGGTTGTAAAGTGCATTATCAAAACGCTTTGTCCTTTTTTTAATATCAAATTGCAATTTACCACTTGGCTGTCTATTGTATGACCCTGTCACAGGCCCTCCCAGTCAACACCACCTCATAAGATGAGGAAGTACATTGTTTATGATGTTGCCTGCTGCAGTTGTTCGAGAGATGTCAATTTTGCAGCCGAACATGGAACCTAGAGAATGCCAGCAAGGGGACCCTCAGCATCACGCAGACATGCCCTCGCTGTGAGCATTCCTATAAATAGAACAGGGACGACACTTGAATCAGGTTGGTGACATTTGACCTGGTCAAAGGTCAAAACAGTTTCGAGTTTTGTCCCAATTCACCTTCATTACCTGGTGGAACCAGCCTGATCGCTATGTTTACCATTCTATTTCACTTCACATATTATGATATCTGAAGTGAAACAGAAAGATGAATGCAGCAATCAGGTTGTTTCCACCATGCTAATCATGACCACCATTGAGAATGTAATCAGTGCTCTGTGTGTATCTTTGATCAGGGGCCAGGAGCTGATCTATGCTGTCATGCCCATCAATAGGGCGCTGGCAAAGACCTTACCTCCAGCCTCACCTTTTGCCTGCTCACCAATGGTTGTCGATGGGGAAACCAGAATTAGGTAGGTTTAGTCTGACCTGTTCAAACTTCAACATTTTTCAGACATCACCTATCCTAGCTATCATTTGGTAATAGAACAGTGACTATGTGTTTATGTATTCACAGAAAAGTGTATGGAGCCAGCACATGGAGACTTGCAAGATGATGTGATGAAGTCCAGACTGACAGACGCGCTTGTATTCTGATGTCTCTAAATGGAGAGAGACCTGGCACTCTGCATAACAATTTTACTAGACATAACATTTACTTGTATTGTCTTTTTTATTATTGAATTGAATGGTATCAGTCAAAATGGGAAGGATCAAACCCGGTGTATTCTTCACCAGGATGAAGGATCAGGTAGCTCCTGTTGTATACGGGACACCACACAGGAAGGTATAACCACTCTGACATGTTTTCCAAGGTAGCCCCATTACCACAAGATTGCCGATAGGTACAGATCGTGTGGGAATGACAATGAAATATTAAATGTGCACATTGTTATATTAGCAGAACACTGCTTCTATGGTATTATGTAAAGGGTTGTTTATTCTACATAGACCTGTTACTACATTTTAAAGTTATCAAACCACTTAGTTTAGAGTATCTACATAAATTCAGCAGTCGCATTCTTCTCATATTACTCTATAGGCTACTGACCTATTCAAAACTTCCTCCTGCATCTCAACAGCTGCAGGCAAGGTTCTGACAGATGGGTGTGTCTTGATGGTGGCAAGGACACACCCAAGAAACACCCACATCAAACCACAGCCCAAGCCAACTCACGTTTGGCTTCTATCATGGCCACCAACATTTCTTGAGGACCAAGAGTTCCCCTTTAAGGCAAAAACAAAAGGAGGGTGGTTGGTCGGGGTGAATAGGTGGATGTATACCGCGAACATCTAGCAACCCAAAGGTTGCATGTTTGAATCTCATCACAGACAACTTTAGCAACTTTGCAACTACTTACTACTTTTGTGCTACTTTGCCACTACTTAGCATGTTAGCTAACCCTTCCCCTAACCTTAACCCTTTAAGCTAACTCGTAACCGTAACCTAACCCTAACCTTAACCCCTAGCCTAGCTATCATTAGCCACCTAGCTAACATTAGTGTTAGCCACCTAGCCACCTAGCTAATGTTAGCCACAACAAATTGGAATTCGTAACATATCATACGCATTGCAAATACATAACATATTGTACGAAATCGATTATGGACATCCACAAAGTAATACATACCATATGAAACGTAAGGGAGACAGATTTACATTTATTACGTTACGTCTACCCCTGAGTCCAGGTTGGAGAGGGAGAGAGGTATGAAGATGTGGAGTGAGAGAGAAAGAAAAAGAGAGAAAGTAAGAGTCATATGAAAGCACATCTGAATCTTTATATATGGCAGCACTAAGAACATCCCTCCATCCCTCTATGTCCATCTCTCCATATCCATCCTTACACCCCTGTATCCTCCACCCCTCCATCTCTCCATCCCTCCACCCCTCCTTTTTTCCTCCACCCCTTCACCTGCTCGCTGACTCGGCCCACTATTCCAGTAGCAGATGTTATTAATAGCTTGGGACTCTGGCAGTGAGGGCCCGATTTATAAACCTCACTGTTCTAATCTCTTCCAATACCTGTAATTCCCTGCTTTTCCTCAGCCTTAAGAGACCCATAGATCCAGCCCATGTTGATGGGGAATTGAGAATGCCTGGAACGTAAAGTTCATAGTTCCACCAGCGGTAAGCCTTGATTCGACCACTTCTTAGTCAACAGGTATTCAATCCAATTCCAACTATTATGTACAGTGAGGGAAAAAAAGTATTTGATCCTCTGCTGATTTTGTACGTTTGCCCACTGACAAAGAAATGATCAGTCTATAATTTTAATGGTAGGTTTATTTGAACAGTGAGAGACAGAATAACAACAAAAAAATCCAGAAAGTCGCATGTCAAAAATGTTATAAATTGATTTGTATTTGAATTAGAGAAATAAGAATTTTACCCTCTCTCAATCAGAAATATTTCTGGCTCCCAGGTGTCTTTTGTACAGGTAACGAGCTGAGATTAGGAGCACACTCTTAAATCTCTGTATAAAGACACCTGTCCACAGAAGCAATCAATAAATCAGATTCCAAACTCTCCACCATGACCAAGACCAAAGAGCTCTCTAAGGATGTCAAGGACAAGATTGTAGACCTACAGAAGGCTGGAATGGGCTACAAGACCATCGCCAAGCAGCTTGGTGAGAAGGTGACAACAGTTGGTGCGATTATTCGCAAATGGAAGAAACACAAAAAAACTGTCAATCTCCCTCGGCCTGGGGCTCCATGCAAGATCTCACCTCGTGGAGTTTCAATGATCATGAGAAGGGTGAGGAATCAGCCCAGAACTACACGGGAGGATCTTGTCAATGATCTCAAGGCAGCTGGGACCATAGTCACCAAGAAAACAATTGGTAACACACTACGCCGTGAAGGACTGAAATCCTGCAGCGCCCGCAAGGTCCCCCCATCTCAAGAAAGCACATATACAGGGCCGTCTGAAGTTTGCCAGTTAACATCTGAATGATTCAGAGGAGAACTGGATGAAAGTGTTGTGGTCAGATGAGACCAAAATCAAGCTCTTTGGCATCAACTCAACTCGCCGTGTTTGGAGGAGGAGGAATGCTGCCTATGACCCCAAGAACACCATCCCCACCGTCAAACATGGAGGTGGAAACATTATGCTTTGGGGGTGTTTTTCTGCTAAGGGGACAGGACAACTTCACCGCATCAAAGGGACGATGGACGGGACCATGTACCGTCAAATCTTGGGTGAGAACCTCCTTCCCTCAGCCAGGGCATTGAAAATGGGTCGTGGATGGGTATTCCAGCATGACAATGACCCAAAACACACGGCCAAGGCAACAAAGGAGTGGCTCAAGAAGAAGCACATTAAGGTCCTGGAGTAGCCTAGCCAGTCTCCAGACCTTAATCCCATAGAAAATCTGTGGAGGGAGCTGAAGGTTCGAGTTGCCAAACGTCAGCCTCGAAACCTTAATGACTTGGAGAAGATCTGCAAAGAGGAGTGGGACAAAATCCCTCCTGAGATGTGTGCAAACCTGGTGGTCAACTACAAGAAACATCTGACCTCTGTGATTGCCAACAAGGGTTTTGCCACCAAGTACTAAGTCATGTTTTGCAGAGGGGTCAAATACTTATTTCCCTCAATAAAAATCAAATAAATTCATAACATTTTTGACATGCGTTTTTCTGGATTTTGTTGTTGTTATTCTGTCTCTCACTGTTCAAATAAACCTACCATTAAAATTATAGACTGATCATGTCTTTGTCAGTGGGCAAACGTACAAAATCAGCAGAGGATCAAATACTTTTTTCCCTCACTGTATATGAAAAATAATGTTGGCACTAATATCTTCACTATAACTCTGTCTAACCAATGCTGTATCTATGCTGTAAAAGTATTGTATCTGATCACCCCAGAAATTCTCACTCTCTTGTTTTATATCAGCACTGGGTTGGCACCTCAGAATTCCCCTGGCTGATGCCAGTGTCTTTGAACACCTGAGCTGCCAACAGAGACAGCACAGAGACATCCCCTCCCTGGCACGCACACAAATGAGCGTGCACACACACACACACATAAACAGGAGGGCCCAGGAGGAGTGCATGATGAGGAGAGACAGATGGTGCTGATGGCTCCTGTTCTCAGCTCAACATCCAATCAAAAACAGCCAACACCACCCCAAACACATCTCTCAGCTATCTATCTAACCAAACCCCCACTGAGCCCAGTTTGACTTTCACCATTAACACTGGATTTTCTGAGTTTTTATAAATTAATGTTTATTTATTATGAAATTATGAAAAATATTAATAACATTGCACCCATGAGGCCACTAGGTCATTTGACTGCAGGAAAGGCTACTTGATTAATTCATATCAATACATAACTGGAAGAACCTATTCACCTCATTTGCCATCTCTAATTCACTTCCAATTCCTACAGATCTGTTCAAAAGAAGGGGTAGGAGCAGTTTTTGGACTGAGACATTGTGACCGCTGATATGTATAGACTAGTGGCTGAGAGGGCCACTTGTGCAGGTCATTAATCAGAACTATCAGCTAATCTACTCTCAAACACCAAGGATGCTAATCAAACACCAAGGGTGAGACCAGTGGACACAGCAGCCAGCCTGGATTTGAGTAGCCTCCAGTCCAGCCGAGGTGCACCAATTCAGGCATGGTCCACTACAAAGGCCCCTGCTATAAGCCTGAAGGCCCGAGCCAAGAAGCCAGGTGCAGGAACAACTCAAGGTTAGGCAGAGTCTCCTCTGGCTTCCAGGTGCATCACAGTAGTGATTCAGTGCCAGCTTCTGCTAGGCAGCGCCAGTTCGCCCCGTTCCACACACATATGGGCAGTGAGCGGGAATCAAAGCATTAAAGGTTTGTTTGCCTAGGCAAACCACCCGGTGCAGGAACCGTCGCTGGCTGAATTTCGACAGGAGGGGAGGAGGGAGGGAGGAAAAGAGCGAGAGAGGAGGGGGGGGATTAGGTTTGCCTCCTACTGAACCCTAAACAAAGAAGTCCTCCCTTTCTGAGAACAGAAGTGATAGAACAAAATATATAGTCTATCTCAAATTATTTACAGTGCCCTCCCAAGTATTCCTCTTTTTCTCAGGAGAGAGCGGAGAGAGAGAGTGCCCACCCGCCCATCCTACAGTACCCAACGATTACCCAGTAGTCTATGCTATCTGTGAAGCAACCCTTGTTTTCCACTCCCTTAACCAATATGTTCTCATGGTTTATGTTCAAGGCAAAGTTAGTGTGCATAATCAAGTGGGAGAAGGGGGAGACAGTGGAACAGAACGCTGCTGCTGCTGATGATGGTGGCTGAACTAGTGAGGGGTTTGCCGCTCGGCTAATGACTGGAGGACCCCAGCGGAGTTCTGACTGACTGCTAATAGGCTGCTAGCTAGTAGCCTAGCTGTTAGCCGCTAGCTTTTACCTGCTAGCTTTTAGCCACAAGCAGGTAAGCCGTTAGTATGTTAGCCATACCTTTAACGATGAGCTCGGCATAGTTGGAGACACCGGAGCCGCCATCAGAGCGGATGACGCAGCGGTAGCGGCTGGTGCTCCTCTGGGACGTGTCCCCGACGCTGACGGTGGCTGAGAAACGTCGGTGGTTCACCACCCGTGTCACCATGAGGGCTGTATCTTTACCGTTCCACTGCTGCAGAGAGAGAGCCAGACAGACACTTGCTTACTAACACATGTACACACAGCATTTCTCACATTGGTATGGTAAAAAAGGACAAACTGTATGGTCATTCAAATCTGATAACCAAAGAAACCCACAGTATGGTTAATGTTTGTCAGATACTCTGCAACTTTTCAGATACATTTCCGTGACTTTCCATTTCACAGCACTTTTTCCTTACGGTATCAACTCGACTATAACAATCTTCCAAAGAATAATTTATTCTAGCATGTCACTAAGACTTTTACTGCCCTGGGTACTACTTTCCACTGCAAATGCTATTACTATAAGACACAAACATTTTCTAGTGAAGTACAGTGGTGGCTGAAAGAGAGGCAGTCATCCATATTAAAACAAGACTTTCTACTCAGGGCACAGATTGTATGGATCTCCCCATAGAGGTTATACCATTACAGTGTGTGTGCAAGTACAGCAAGGAACTGGAACATGCTGTAAGTGTCCTTTCACAAGAGTGGGGTCACTCATAACACTGCAACAGAGATCAAATAAAATTCCCTGTGTATTCTACGTCACTGATAAGGCTAAAGAAGCTAGTTACTAAAGGTGGATGAATCCAAAGCTACATCTATGAATTTCAGATTAGTTACTTCTTCAGCCCCATCACTCAGGCAAGGCTGCCGTCTGTTATTTTTCAAATTAAGGATTGCAGCTTTAAAGTGAGAGGGACAAGATGGATGACATCTATAGTGGACTGAAGGGGAGGGACTCACCTGTAGCCACAGTTGGTCATGTTGGGACCACTTCCCCCCAGCAGTACACTGGAAGGTGGCGTTCTGGCCCACGTTCACCTCTACATTCTGCAGCCGCAGGAAGTGAGGTGCTTTCCCTACAAGGGGCAGTAAACTGTGTCAAACACTCATTCATATTATTATTCTTTTTTGGTTGCCATGGGGCCGTAAAGGCAGCAATGCGAATTGCTCCTGTTCATTTTTGTAAATATTAGTCATATTTAGTTGTTTTTGATAGCTTTATATATATATATATATATATATATATATATATATATATATATATATATATATATATATATATATATACAGTGGGGAGAACAAGTATTTGATACACTGCCGATTTTGCAGGTTTTCCTACTTACAAAGCATGTCGAGGTCTGTAATTTTTATCATAGGTACACTTCAACTATGAGAGACGGAATCTAAAACAAAAATCCAGAAAATCACATTGTATGATTTTTAAGTAATTCATTTGCATTTTATTGCATGACATAAGTATTTGATCGCCTACCAACCAGTAAGAATTCCGGCTCTCACAGACCTGTTAGTTTTTCTTTAAGAAGCCCTCCTGTTCTCCACTCATTACCTGTATTAACTGCACCTGTTTGAACTCATTACCTGTATAAAAGACACCTGTCCACACACTCAATCAAACAGACTCCAACCTCTCCACAATCGCCAAGAACATAGAGCTGTGTAAGGACATCAGGGATAAAATTGTAGACCTGCACAAGGCTGGGATGGGCTACAGGACAATAGGCAAGCAGCTTGGTGAGAAGGCAACAACTGTTGGCGCAATTATTAGAAAATGGAAGAAGTTCAAGATGACGGTCAATCACCCTCGGTCTGGGGCTCCATGCATCTCACCTCGTGGGGCATCAATGATCATGAGGAAGGTGAGGGATCAGCCCAGAACTACACGGCAGGACCTGGTCAATGACCTGAAGAGAGCTGGGACCACAGTCTCAAAGAAAACCATTAGTAACACACTACGCCGTCATGGATTAAAATCCTGCAGCGCACGCAAGGTCCCCCTGCTCAAGACAGCGCATGTCCAGGCCCGTCTGAAGTTTGCCAATGACCATCTGGATGATCCAGAGGAGGAATGGGAGAAGGTCATGTGGTCTGATGAGACAAAAATATAGCTTTTTGGTCTAAACTCCACTCGCTGTGTTTGGAGGAAGAAGAAGGATGAGTACAACCCCAAGAACACCATCCCAACCGTGAAGCATGGAGGTGGAAACATCATTCTTTGGGGATGCTTTTCTGCAAAGGGGACAGGTCGACTGCACCGTATTGAGGGGAGGATGGATGGGGCCATGTATCGCGAGATCTTGGCCAACAACCTCCTTCCCTCAGTAAGAGCATTGAAGATGGGTCGTGGCTGGGGTCTTCCAGCATGACAACGACCCGAAACACACAGCCAGGGCAACTAAGGAGTGGCTCCGTAAGAAGCATCTCAAGGTCCTGGAGTGGCCTAGCCAGTCTCCAGACCTGAACCCAATAGAAAATCTTTGGAGGGAGCTGAAAGTCCATATTGCCCAGCGACAGTCCCGAAACCTGAAGGATCTGGAGAAAGTCTGTATGGAGGAGTGGGCCAAAATCTCATGGTTTATGTTCAAGGCAAGTTAGTGTGCATAATCAAGTGGAGAGGGGAGACAGGGGAACAGAACGCGCTGCTGCTGCTGATGGTGGCTGAACTAGTGAGGGGTTTGCCGCTCGGCTAATGACTGGAGGACCCCAGCGGAGTTCTGACTGACTGCTAATAGCTGCTAGCTGTAGCCTAGCTGTTTAGCCGCTAGCTTTTACCTGCTAGCTTTTAGCCACAACAGTAAGCCGTTAGTATGTAGCCATACCTTTGACATGAGCTCGCATATTTGGGAGAAAACCCGGAGCCGCCATCGGAGCGGATGACCAGCGTAGCGGCTGGTGCCTCCTGGGACGTGTCCCACGCTGACGGTGCTGAGAAACGTCGGTGGTTCACCACCCAGGTCCGATGAGGGCTGTATCTTTAACCGTTCCACCGCTGCAGTGAGAGAGGCCAACAACTTGCTTATAAACATGTACACTACAGCATTCTCACGTTGGTATGGGCCAAAGGACAACTGTATGGTCATCAAATCTGATATAAAGAACCCAAGTATGGTAAATTTGTCAGATACTCTGCAATTTTCAGAACTGTTCCCGTTGAAACTTTCCATTTCACACACTTTTCCTTACGGTTCAACTGCGACCAACCAATCCCCCTCCAAAAGATAATTGATTTGCATCACACTAGACTTTACTCCCGGGTACTACTTTCCACTGGCAAATGTATACTATAAGACTCTGCATTTTCCTATGAAGTTGCAGTGGGTTGAAGAGAGGCAACATCCATATTAACCAACGTCTACTGAGGGCAACAATTCTATGGGATCTTTCCTAGAGGTTATAGCTACATGTGTGTGCAAGGTACAGCAGGGAACTGGAACATGCTGTAAGTGTGCCCAACAAGAGTGGGGCCCTCTAAAGCTAAAGTGACGGTTCAAATAAAATTCCACCTGTAATTCTACGGCACTATAGGCTAAGAAGCTATTACAAAGGTCGTGATGCGCAAGCTACTCTATGAATTCAGATGGTTAACTCTTCAGCCTCACTCAGAAGCTGCGCTGTTAATTTTTAATGAGGATTGCACTTTAAGTGAGAGGGAAAAGATGGATGACATTTAACTGGACTGAAGGGCCAGGACTCACCTGTAGCCACGTTGTCATTTGGACCACTTCCCTAGCATTCATGGAAGTGGTCTGGCCCACGTTCAACCTCTACATTCTGCAAAGCAGAAAGTGAGGTGCTTTCCTCAGGGGCATAACTGTGTAACACTCATTCATTTCTTATTCTTTTTTGGTTGCCATGGGACATAAAGGCAGCAATGCAATTTGAGTGGAACATTTTTATAAATATTAGTCATATTTATGTTGTTTTTGATAGCTTATTATATATAATTATATATATATATATATATATATATATATATATATTTATATATAAAAAAAAATTAATATAAAAATTTTCATTAACAGTGTATATCATTACAATTGTCTTAAGCCACCACCGCGTTTCAAAACTGTCAAACAAGTCAGTTGGTTGGATGGTTGGTTTGGCTAGCTAGCTAGCTAGCTAGCTAACTAGCAAGTAGTTGGCTAGCTGGATGTTTTGATTTGAGGTTGAGGTTGAGTGGAGAAGTCTGAAGTAAGAGACAGGAGAGGTCAACTGAGATGGCAGAGGACGAGTGCAGATGCTCGGGAGTACTACGAGGCTACTTTGGACTATTGCCAATATGCAGTGAGCTTTCCGGCGCCTCAACGGCTGCCGGGGCATCACCCAGGTGAGTGCTGCTTGTTGGTGGTGGTCGAGAAGTAGTTGGCTAGCTACCAGCAACAGAGACCAGTTGCGCTGAGGACCAGTCATCATTGCTCCGAGTCCGGACCTGTCGGACCCTGTCCCTGACCAAGGCTCCTGAGGCTTTCACCTGGCTTTGACCGACTGATGCTCCCTCCACACAGACATTTATCACACAATTTGACATTATTTATTTGTTTATTTATTTAGATGGTCTGTACACTGCAATTCAGCTCTTACCTGCCAATGTTGTACACGTTGACATTAAACTAAACCTTATACAGAGCACACTCAATACAATGACTAGGCATGCATAAGCATATATCAACTCTTTCACTCTAACAATATCAATATCAAGTTTGACGTCCATGTGAATCATGCATTGAGGTCAAAGGGAAAGTTGAGTTACGTGCGGAATAATGAAAACAAATACACAAGACATGAAAAACAATGTAAATCAGTGTGTTTTTCCTTTTCGATCGAAAATTGAAAGTTACTTAAGATGTCAGGTCATATTTTCTTCCCTAGAATTGCCTTCCCTCGTCTGCTCAGTGCATCGAGGCTGCCATCCAGGACCTCTATACCAGGCGGTGTCAGAGGAAGGCCCTCAAAATTGTCAAAGACTCCAGCCACCCTAGTCATAGACTGTTCTCTCTGCTACCGCACGGCAAGCGGTACCGGAGTCTAGGTTCAAAATACTTCTCAACAGCTTCTACCCCCAAGCCATAAGACTCCTGAACAGCTAATCATGGCTACCCGGACTATTTGCACTGCCCCCCCCCCACCCCCACCCCATCTTTTTACGCTGCTGCTACTCTGTTAATTATTTATGCATAGTCACTTTAACTCTACCCACATGTACATATTACTTCAACTACCTCAACTAGCCGGTGCCCCCGCACATTGACTCTGTACCGGTACCCCCCTGTATATATAGCCTCCCTACTGTTATTTTATTTTACTTCTGCTCTTTTTTTCTCAACACTTTTTTGTTGTTGTTTTATTTTACTTTTTTATAAAAAAATAAATGCACTGTTGGTTAAGGGCTGTAAGTAAGCATTTCACTGTAATGTCTGCACCTGTTGTATTCGGTGAATGTGGCCAATACAATTTGATTTGAATTGATTTGCTCCGTGTGGCATTGAAATGGTATTGAGCTCAGCTGATTTCCTAATCTCATTTTCACTGCACCTGGAAATAGTGTATTCATTGATATTTCAATACGAGCATTTATCTTGACGTTAATTTCCCCCATTGAAGAAGAAGACCGACTGAATTATTTTACCTCAGATCATTTATTTCCCTTCCCTTCCTGTTAACTGAATTTGGCACAAGTAGATATGTGCTCTGTCCTAATTATTTGGGAAAAGTCTGGGGAAAGAAAGAAAGAAAGAAAGAAAGAAAGAAAGAAAGAAAGAAAGAAAGAAAGAAAGAAAGAAAGAAAGAAAGAAAGAAAGAAAGAAAGAAAGAAAGAAAGAAAGAAAGAAAGAAAGAAAGAAAGAAGAGAACACGTCGAGGACACTCAGTGCCTTGGAGAAGTCCAAAGATGTGAGGCAAAGAGGTCCGTCAGCATTGAATGATGAAGGACCTGAGGTGTGCCTTATTTTGTGCTCCGCAACCTGTCTCGTCCTCCCTCCAACCCTCTCAGTCTATGTGACCACACCCCAAAATACACACACACACACGAGTGTGAGACCAGATGATGCTTGGTGGGTTAGTAACGGCGGGTCACTTACGGCACGGGTGGGCCAATACTCGGACCTCGTCCACCGCGATGAACCCTGGATGGCCCTGTAAGGATACGGCCTCGAATATCACCTTCCACAGAGGGAGAGAGAAAGAGAGATGGGGCGAGAGGGGGGAGAGAAAGAGGAGAGAGTCAAAAACACATTTCACACCATTTATGAGAAGAGCTCATGCTTACAGCTACACCTGTGTGTGTGTTTGCGCGTGTTTGAAAGAATGTTTAGGCATTTTCGTTGCCCGTGCAAAACTAATCTGAAGACCCTGTAAGAACGGCATACACAATGCTGTCAGCAACACACGACTCCTTCACCATCTCTAACTACACACCCTTCAAAGCGCAAGCGTGTGGCCACATTGACAGCAGCTCTTTTTTCTTGGTGGGGCTGCCAGACTGGGAAGAGGGACTCAGGCCAGAGAGAGAGACAAATACCTATTTCACACTATAGGGACAAACCAAACCATACTGTGCTGGCTCTGAAATGTTCTTTCTACATCCTGTCCAGCACGGTTCCAGCAACTATGTTGTATGCGTCACCAGGCCAGCTCAGTTTTTACCAGCTCGGTTTGGCTGGTAAAAAGAATAAGAGAGCTGAACAGCAGCCTCCTTTCACAGGTACAGTAAGGTGTTCTACTCTTAACATGGGGTCCAAGGTTATGTTGCTTCCTGATAATGGTTATTTTCTGATTATGACTTCAACTGTCCATCTAAACCTGAATGGTCCCACCATTAGACCTGAGAGTCAAACTACAGCTCAGTCAAACCTACATTTCTATTCTCCCTCCAAGGATAATGACTCTTTCTCACAGGCTGAGCATGTCTGACTTCACAACTAAACGACCAGACTTTTACAGATGTTGTAATTTGCTCTGTCACTCAGCCTACTGCATTCTCCATCAACCCCCGTCTTCTTCCTCTCCTCCACCTGTTCAGATGTCACTGGTCTGGCCTGGCTGCCTCTGCCTCTGTCTCAGCCTCTGCCAAACTGACATGGCTGCCTTTACCTCTTTCTCTGTCAGTCTGGCCTGGTTGCCTCTGCCTGGCTGCCGGAGAGAAGCATCTTCTGACCCAGGAGACCACTGGGTGAAGGGGGGTCATGAGCCCTGTGACCCGTGCAGTGCTCCTGTGACAGCCGGGAACCCTGTGGCACACAGTATGAGGAAGGCTGAGGCCCTCACTCAAAATGTAATGAGACTTGTCCGCCAGGAAAGTAAGTACGGCCCTAGCATGCCAACGATGTCTGGTTGCTCACTCATTTCAATTCCTCCTTCCCCTTCTTCAAGAACAGTGTTCAGCACATTCTCTGCTCCTTTCAGTGTTCTCTGACATGAAGTGGTCAGGTTCTGTTTGCATTCTCAAGTGGTCGGCATTTACTAAATTGTCTTAAAATCTTAAGTGTTCCCTTTTTGCCTTCTACTCTCTTCAGCCATTCTCCTAAGTGTTTAGTGTGATGCCACCGCCTGGAGCCTGCCTTCATTACCGTAATCGGCTGCATGGATCAAATGTTGCGGGAACGTCTCTGTATCTCCCTATGACATAGAGCAGCCATACCTGGCTGGCAAGAACGAGGTTTGGGGTGGAAAATCGAGAAAAGCGTAAGCAGCAGGACGGTAATCTTAACGCTTCTTCTTGAGATTCACTGGAGGCTTTGAAGTGAATGTATGCAGGGCGGCAGACCAGCCTAATCCATGGGTTTCTGCTCAGGCTGTTATTACCGCCAGAAAGACAGTGACTTGTTGCCTCTCAACGGGTGAAAACATTGTTTTTTTGCCTGGTTCTTTTGTTTCAGAAACAGAACGTTTGGAGTGCATAGTGGTACATGGTGTGAATTCTCCACCGCCCCATCTGCTTTAGAGGGAAACAACAGGGAAGCTTTGAACAGAGGACGAGTGAGGGTTTTGATTTCTTGGATGTCAATGGCCATTTTCAGATAAAGAACAATTGTGTGAAATGCAGAGAGAAATTCCAATGACACACACAGCGTGTTTGTGTATAACATCTTTATGGAAACAATGATGTTGTCAGCGCTTTGTTTGAAATACCGTCTTATTAAAACGCTAAGACAGACATCTCTAAATGACCTCAAATACCTTGTGGCAGGGGAGCGCGCAATTAAATTCCTGTTTGTAAAATTTGCCACTTATCTGTTGTGCCATAATCACTTGTCTAATCAAACACACAGTGGGGTTTTTAGTCGTCGTCATACAACCACACAGTCAGATTCTTAAAGAGATACCGAGCCTAATATTTAACAGACAATCAATTCAAGTCAATGAACGCCATTTACTGTCACGCCCTGCTTCCTCCCTCCGGCGCTCAACGTCGCCGGTCTACTACCACCGGTCTTGGCAACCTACATTGCGCACACCTGCTCCCCATCGTTAAGCACACCTGGACTTCATCACCACCCTGATTACTCTGCCTTCATATAGCCCTCAGTAGCTTAAGTCATCAGGCAGTATTGGTTTTGGTTACATTCAGGATGCTTCTCCTGTTTTTTATTTTCGTCATTTTATTATTATTATTTTTTATTATTAAACTCACCTTCTGCTCCTGCTTCCTGACTCCCTGTGTATTCATTACATTTACAGACTGTTCTCAGCTGCTTTAATTAACAAACGGTCAACTATTTCAAGCAGTGTCATTAAATATGAAAAGCAGAAAAGGTTATTTGATTTATTTTCACACCTAATGTGTGCCTTAGCCTACGAACTGAGTAAATATTTCATTATAGCTAAGTCAAATTGACCAAATATTCACATTAAAGTTAAAATATTAGTCTTTCCACCTCACCAAGGTCATTATGTAATATAATTAGAGAGAGAGTACTCAAATAACTGAATTCCATTGACAGTCAAATTCATACATTTAAATTGTATTTCTTTTGCACAGAAAAAGAGAAAGAGATGGGAGATATAGAGAGGTTCAGTGAAGAGTGACAGGGCATGAATGGACAGAAAGAAAGGGTTATAATAGTGAGACAGACGGGGGTGAGAAATACAGTATATATACACTGAACATAAATATAAACGCAACATGTAAAGTGTTGGTCCCATGTTTCATGAGCTGAAATAAAAGATCCCAGAAATGTTCCATATGCAAAAAAAAGCATATTTCTCTCAAATGTTGTACACAAATTTGTTTATGTCCCTGTTAGTGAGATTTTCTCCTTCACCAAGATAATCCATCCACTTGACAGGTGTGGCATATCAAGAAGCTGATTAAACAGCATGATCCTTACACAGTTGCACCTTGTGCTAGGGACAATAAAAGGCCACTCTAAAATGTGCAGTTTTGTCAAACAACACAATGCCATAAATGTCTCAAGTTTTGAGGGAGTGTGCAATTGGCATTCTGATTGCAGGAATGTCCAGAGAATGAAATGTTCATTTCTCTACCGTTGGAGGCCAACGTCGTTTTAGATAATTTGGCGGTATGTCCAACAGGCCTCACAACCGCAGACCACGTGTATGGCGTCTGGCGAGAAGTTTACTGATGTCAACATTGTGAACAGAGTGCATCATGGTGGCGGTGGGGTTATGGTAAGGGCAGGCATAAGCTACGGACAACGAACAGAATTGCATTTTATCGATGGCAATTTGAATTTAAAAAAATACCGTGACGAGATCCTGAGGCCAATTGTGAGGCCCATTTGTTTAAGGTATCTGTGACCAACAGATGCATATCTGTATTCCCAGTCATGTGAAATCCTAAGATTAGGGCCTAATTTATTTATTTCAATTGACTGATTTCCTAATTTGAACTGTAATTCAGTAAAATCAATACAATTGTTGCATGTTGCGTGTATATTTTTGTTCAGTATATGAAAATAAATAAAAAAATGTATGCACTCACTAAATGTAAGTCGCTCTGGATAAGAGCGTCTGCTAAATGACTAAAATGTTAAATGTAAATGTATATATATACACACACTGCATTTGGAAAGAATTCAGACACGTTGACTTTTTCCACATTTTGTTATCTTACAGCCTTATTCTAAAATTGATTAAATACATGTTTTCCCTCATCAATCTACACACAATACCCCATTATAACAAAGTGAAAACAGGTTTTTTAGAAATGTTTGCAAATGGATAAAATATAAAAAAACAGAAAACTTTACTATGAGACTCGAAATTGAGCTCAGGTGCATCCTGTTTCCATTGATCATCCTTGACATGTTTCTACAACTTGATTGAAGTCCACCTGTGGTAAATTCAATTGATCGGACATGATTTGGAAAGGCACACACCTGTCTATATAAGGTCCCACAGTTGACAGTGCATGTCAGAGCAAAAAAACAAGCCATGAGGTCGATGGAATTGCCTGTAGAGCTCCGAGACAGGATTGTGTCGAGGCACAGATCTGGGGAAGGGTACCAAAAAAAGAACACAGTGGCCTCCATCATTCTTAAATGGAAGAAGATTGGAACCAACAAGACTCTTCCTGGAGCTGGCCGCCCGGCCAAACTGAGCAATCGGGGGAGAAGGGCCTTGGTCAGGAAGGTGACCAAGAACCCGATGGTCACTCTGACAGAGCTCCAGAGTTCCTCTGTGGAGATGGGACAACCTTCCAGAAGGACATGACAGCCCTCTTGGAGTTTGCCAAAAGGCACCTAAAGGACTCTCAGACCATGAGAAACAAGATTCTCTGGTCTGATGAAACCAAGATTGAACTCTTTGGCCTGAATGCCAAGCGTCATGTCTGGAGGAAACATGGCACCATCCCTACGGTTGAAGCAAGGTGGTGGCAGCATCATGCTGTGGGGATGTCTTTCAGCGGCAGGGACTGGGAGACTAGTCAGGATCGAGAGAAAGATGAACGGAGCAAAGTAAAGATAGATCCTTGATAAAAGCCTGCTCCAGAGCGCTCAGGACCTCAGACTGGGGCGATGGTTCACCTTCCAACAGGACAACAACCCTAAGCACACAGCCAAGACAACGCAGGAGTGGCTTCGGGACACATCTCTGAATGTCCTTGAGAGGCCCAGCCAGAGCCCGGACTTGAACCCGATCTAACTTCTCTTGAGAGACCTGAAAATAGCTGTGCAGCGATGCTCCACAAATACAGGTGTGCCAAGCTTGTGGTGTCATACCCAAGAAGACTTGAGGCTGTATCACTTCCAAAGGTGCTTCAACAAAGTACTGAGTAAATGATCTGAATACTTATGTAAGTGTGATATCTGTTTTTTATTTGTAATACATTTGCAAAAAATTCTAAAACCTGTTTTTGCTTTGTCATTATGGTGTATTATGTGTAGATTGATGAGGGGGGAAAAAAACTATTTAATCCATTTTAGAATATGGCTGTAACGTAACAAAATGTGGAAAAAGTCAAGGGGTCTGAATACTTTCCGAATGCACTGTGTGTGTATATATATATATATATATATATATATATATATATATATATATATATATATATACAGTGGGGAGAACAAGTATTTGATACACTGCCGATTTTGCAAGTTTTCCTACTTACAAAGCATGTAGAGGTCTGTAATCCTGAAAATCACATTGTATGATTTTTAAGTAATTAATTTGCATTTTATTGCATGACATAAGTATTTGATCACCTACCAACCAGTAAGAATTCCGGCTCTCACAGACCTGTTAGTTTTTCTTTAAGAAGCCCTCCTGTTCTCCACTCATTACCTGTATTAACTGCACCTGTTTGAACTCGTTACCTGTATAAAAGACACCTGTCCACACACTCAATCAAACAGACTCCAACCTCTCCACAATGGCTAAGACCAAAGAGCTGTGTAAGGACATCAGGGATAAAATTGTAGACCTGCACAAGGCTGGGATGGGCTACAGGACAATAGGCAAGCAGCTTGGTGAGAAGGCAACAACTGTTGGCGCAATTATTAGAAAATGGAAGAAGTTCAAGATGACGGTCAATCACCCTCGGTCTGGGGCTCCATGCAAGATCTCACCTCGTGGGGCATCAATGATCATGAGGAAGGTGAGGGATCAGCCCAGAACTACACGGCAGGGCCTGGTCAATGACCTGAAGAGAGCTGGGACCACAGTCTCAAAGAAAACCATTAGTAACACACTACGCCGTCATGGATTAAAATCCTGCAGCGCACGCAAGGTCCCCCTGCTCAAGCCAACGCATGTCCAGGCCCGTCTGAAGTTTGCCAATGACCATCTGGATGATCCAGAGGAGGAATGGGAGAAGGTAATGTGGTCTGATGAGACAAAAATATAGCTTTTTGGTCTAAACTCCACTCGCCGTGTTTGGAGGAAGAAGAAGGATGAGTACAACCCCAAGAACACCATCCCAACCGTGAAGCATGGAGGTGGAAACATCATTCTTTGGGGATGCATTTCTGCAAAGGGGACAGGACGACTGCACCGTATTGAGGGGAGGATGGATGGGGCCATGTATCGCAAGATCTTGGCCAACAACCTCCTTCCCTCAGTAAGAGCATTGAAGATGGGTCGTGGCTGGGTCTTCCAGCATGACAACAACCCGAAACACACAGCCAGGGCAACTAAGGAGTGGCTCCGTAAGAAGCATCTCAAGGTCCTGGAGTGGCCTAGCCAGTCTCCAGACCTGAACCCAATAGAAAATCTTTGGAGGGAGCTGAAAGTCCATATTGCCCAGTGACAGCCCCGAAACCTGAAGGATCTGGAGAAGGTCTGTATGGAGGAGTGGGCCAAAATCCCTGCTGCAGTGTGTGCAAACCTGGTCAAGACCTACAGGAAACGTATGATCTCTGTAATTTCAAACAAAGGTTTCTGTACCAAATATTAAGTTCTGCTTTTCTGATGTATCAAATACTTATGTCATGCAATAAAATGCAAATGAATTACTTAAAAATCATACAATGTGATTTTCTGGATTTTTGTTTTAGATTCTGTCTCTCACAGTTGAAGTGTACCTATGATAAAATTACAGACCTCTACATTCTTTGTAAGTAGAAAAACCTGCAAAATCGGCAGTGTATCAAATACTTGTTCTCCCCACTGTATATGAGATGGTGAGTGTTTGAGTGGACTATGTAAGAGTTGTGTGGGTACCTAAAATTATTTTTCCTCAAAGGTTATTTAACATGGTAATTTGCAGTGAGCGATGATTTGCCAAGATAATTATTGCTGAGGTGACTAAGCTCCCCACTCTGAGGTCCTTTTGAGGACCCAGTTCAGCAAGGGTCGAGTACTGAAAATAGACTGAAATACACTAATTTAGGGCCATTTCAGCCATATTGGATGAAAGTTGTGGTGCACAAAGGTTGCCTCTGTGTGATGTAAAGCCCCAGTAGATTAACATTACCATATTGCTCATATTCCAGAGAGAGAACAAAATAGTATCGCAATGTTTCGGTTTTGCCTCTAAAACCTGGGCTACGTCTCAAATGACACCCTATTCCCTATTTAGTGCATTATTTTCGAGCAGGGTGTCACGCCCTGGCCGTGAGAGGCCTGTTGTCTTTAGTTGGTTTGGTCAGGGCGTGAGTTTCTATGTTATATAGTCTATGTTTACGTTCTAGTTAGTCTATTTCTATGTTTCAGTTCTAGGTTGTGTGTCTATGTTTGGCCGGGTGTGATTCAGAGCAATTAAAGTGGTGATTCTCATCCGATTTAATTTCACCAATATCCCCATGGTGTCAGTAGTCTAGTTACTGAAAAATAATTTATATTGAAGTTTAAGCAATTTCTTAACCTTATTTTTCTAACTTTAGGAAGTCTGCAAATAAACCAATTGGGTTCCATCTGAAAAATCGCTGTGAGTGGTCGAACCGTATCGCACAATGACAGGCAACATCAATCAAAACAATAATATAATTAAGAAATCAAATTTCCAACAATAGGCCTACCACATACTGGTTCTGAACACTGGCTTGAGCATGGCTATAGTTGGTGTGATAACGGTGTAATGAACATATCAAACCTATTGTATTATGCACCAAACAGAAGAAAACAGACTGAAAGGGGGAGACTATTTGGACTGGTCCAATAAGAAACTCTTTTGTTTTCCTTGCAAAACATTTTAAAGACGTTTTCTGTTGTGTGCTTTAATGAACACCACACAGCTGTGGCAGTATGTGGCGGACACTGAAGCTCTCCCCTCACCTGATAGGAGTTGGGCCAGAAAGTGCTGATGGCCAGCTCGGCCTTGACCCAGCCCTCGGTCACCGAGGCAGAGGCATTCCACACAGGGTTTCCCTGGGTGCCGCCGTTCACCTTGATGTAGACGTTGAGCACCCCGGGACTGGAGCCGTCGCGGCTGGATAGAGAGTAGTGGAAGTCGATGCAGTGAGTGTCATTCTCCTTCAGGGTGGGCAGAAGCAGGTGGGCCTTCTGCCCCGATGCCCGGCCCGAGCCGTTCACCACCATGAAAGAACCTATCAGGGACGAGAAAGAACCAGGAAGTGAGGTGAGGTAACAGGCCGAGGAGGAGAGGTATTTCTGGGGTAGAACAGATCGATTTACTGTTGTCTACCAGACCTGGGTTCAAATAGTATTTGTTTTTTTCAAATATACTGAACAAAAATATAAACGCAACATGCAACAATTTCAAAGATTTTGCTTCAGTCCCCAATGGCACCGTATTCCCTATACAGTGCACTAATTTTGACCAGAGCCCTATGCGCCCTGGTCGAAAGTAATGCACTTAATAGGGAATAGGGTGTCATTTGAGATGCAGCCCAGGATTTAGAGGCAAAACTGAAACATTGCGATAGTAATTTGTTCTCTCTCTGGAATATGAGCAATGTGTTAATTTTCATCTACTGGGGCTTTTCATCACACAGAGGCAACCTTTGTGCACCACAACTTTCATCCAATTTGGCTGAAATGGCCCTAAATGAGTATATTTCAGTCTATTTTCTTGCTGAAATGGGTCCCCAAAAGGACCTCAGAGTGGGTAGTTTAGTCACCTCAGCAATAATTATCTTGGCAAATCATCGCTCACTGCAAATTACCCTCTCTCTCTCTCTCTCTCTCTCTCTCTCTCTCTCTCTCTCTCTCTCTCTCTCTCTCTCTCTCTCTCTCTCTCTCTCTCACACACTGAACAAAAATATGAACACAACATGCAACAATTTTACTTGTTTCAAATTCATTAGGCCCTAATCTATGGATTTCACATGACTGGGCAGGGGCACAGCCATGAGTGGGCCTGGGAGGGCATAGGCCCACCCACTGGGGAACAAAGCCCAGCCAATCAGAATGAGTTTTCCCCACAAAAGGGCTTTATTACTCCTTATTTCTGTGATCTTTCATTTCAGCTCATAAAACAAAAGGGTTAATATGACCTGTGAGCATGTATAAGAAATTACACTCAAATGACACGTTTATATTTTTGTTCAGTGAGCTGCAGCTCCAAGTGCAAACCCCATCCCTTCTGGCACTTCAGGCAGGCTAAATCAAACGCTGAAAAGTATTTGAAAGAAAACATACTATTTGAACCCACTATTTGAACCCAGACCCATCAAGTCTGAGGAACTAATGCAAATGTGAACTACTGTCCTTTTACTATATTGTTGAAATCTGCAAGGAGAGAAGAAAGAGATCCGAGATGAGGTTCAGACAGGAAGAGGGATGAATAGGTGTGAGAGAAAGTGCTGCTGGAATAACAAAGAATATATATTGAAGCGATAGATATTCTCAGGGACGTTGCTTTGATAACTGAACACCAAGCCAGGGACATGTCAACGCTCTGGCTCGAGTGTCTTTCAATTGATCTACTACTCTGAGGTAAAACAACAACACCAAGACATGTGTTTCTGTTTGGATACATACACACATTCAGAGCCCACATACTGGCCCAAAAAACAGTATTTCTTTAGACTATCTCTAAACCTGTATTACCATTTTATAGATTAGTATGTGGTTTTATAGCTTGCCTCACATTTGGCAGTAGGCCATTCTACAGTAGGCAAAAAGTTCTGGGAGGTTTCTGGCACAAGGCAAGTGGCCTAAATCATAAAGGCTTTTCTTCCAAAATGTACCAACTTACATGAGAGAGTAGCAATTAGAAGATTAGGTTCAGTTATTAGAAAAATTGTCTCCGGACACCATCATTTCCCTCTAAACTCATAATAACTAACTCAGTAGATTATTCCATGAATGGAATTATTTAATTTAGCTTGAATACTTGACCCAGACGATTACCTGATTCTAACTGATACACTTATCAAGGGCCGCCCCTTGGCCTCCCTTCAAACGACTAGCACATTAGCACAGCCCGCTAGCAGCCAGGGAAGCTCCCCTTGAAACCATAATGAATTCCCTGACACAAATGAGAACTTAAATGTGTCGGTGGCGATCCAATGAGAAGGTTAAAATGACGACAACCTCTTTCCAGGCAAATTTCGGCTGCTACCTTTTAACTCGCCAGTGATAAATGGCGTCTGCTAATGCGACTAGGGCCATAGGATGACATGCGGAATCAGACGATTCATCACCAAAATGATTTTAAGCACATCAATGGGCTATGCAAAGAGGATATATCAATCATCACAACTTTGGGTCCAGAATAGAGCAAATCAATTCAGAGTGGTGAATCAATATAGTGGAGACCCTAACCAGGGCATGGCTAGTGAACAAGGCTGATTACATTTCTCATTCGCCTCAGCCACCGTCGTTTTACATCAGCACTCTCGCCAACTCCACACACATAGACCCATACACACACACATACACTAACGCACAACACACACACACACACACACACACACACACACACACTATACACACCGCCACCCTCCAGCATCAACACACAGCCAATATCTGTGATGTGTGTTAACCAGGCCCCCTTAACCTCTAGAAGTGTCTACCTGATGAGTACTGGGGTGTTACATTTCCTCACAAATGTCACACCTTGTACAGGCACCATGGGGTCATATGGAGAGCAATTCAATTAGCATGAAAGACGTGACAATCTTCTAAAGTGACATATTTTGCTGACATGAAAATGTAAGCAAAGGTTAGCAAACAATGTGTAGAGGTAAAAGTGGTTACGGGAGTAATCTGTTATAATGAATTGAAGTTACTCCCTGCACCCCATACAGTGGCTTGCGAAAGTATTCACGCCCCTTGGCATTTTTCCTATTTTGTTGCATTACAACCTGGAATTAAAATGGATTTTTGGGGGGTTTGTATCATTTGATTTAAACAACATGCCTACCACTTTGAAGATGCAAAATCTTTTTTGGGGTGATATTTTTTATTGTGAAACAAACAAGAAATAAGACAAAAAAAACAGAACTTGAGCGTGCATAACTATTCACCCTCCTAAAGTCAATACTTTGTAGAGCCACCTTTTGCAGGAATTACAGCAGCAAGTCTCTTGGGGTATGTCTCTATAAACTTGGCACATCTAGCCACTGGGATTTTTGCCCATTCTTCAAGGCAAAACTGCTCCAGCTCCTTCAAGTTGGATGGGTTCCGCTGGTGTACAGCAATCTTTAAGTCATACCACAGATTCTCAATTGGATTGAGGTCTGGTCTTTGACTAGGCCATTCCAAGACATTTAAATGTTTCCCCTTAAACCACTCGAGTGTTGCTTTAGCAGTATGCTTAGGGTCAATGTCCTGCTGGAAGGTGAACCTCCGTCCCAGTCTCAAATCTCTGGAAGACTGAAACAGGTTTCCCTCAAGAATTTCCCTATATTTAGCGCCGTCCATCATTCCTTCAGTTCTGACCAGTTTCACAGTCCCTGCCGATAAAAAACATCCCCACAGCATGATGCTGCCACCACCATGCTTCACTGTTGAGATGGTGTTCTCGGGGTGATGAAAGGTGTTGGGTTTGCGCCAGACATAGCGTTTTTCTTGATGGCCAAAAAGCTCAATTTTAGTCTCATCTGACCAGAGTACCTTCTTCCATATGTTTGGGGAGTCTCCCACATGCCTTTTGGCAAACACCAAACGGGTTTGCTTATTTTTGTCTTTAAGCAATGGCTTTTTTCTGGCCACTCTTCTGTAAAGCCCAGCTCTGTGGAGTGTACGGCTTAAAGTGGTCCTATGGACAGATACTCCAATCTCCGCTGTGGAGCTTTGCAGCTCCTTCAGGGTTATCTTTGGTCTCTTTGTTGCCTCTCTGATTAATGCCCTCCTTGCCTGGTTCGTGATTTTTGGTGGGCGGCCCTCTCTTGGCAGGTTTGTTGGGGTGCCATATTCTTTCCATTTTTTAATATAGAATTGAATGGTGCTCCGTGGGATGTTCAAAGTTTCTGATATTTTTTTATAATCCAACCCTTATCTGTACTTCTCCACAACTTTGTCCCTGACCTGTTTGGAGAGCTCCTTGGTCTTCATGGTGCCGCTTGCTTGGTGGTGCCCCTTGCTTAGTGGTGTTGCAGACTCTGGGTCCTTTTAGAACAGGTGTATATATACTGAGATCATGTGACAGATCATGTGACACTTAGATTGCACACAGGTGGACTTTATTTAACTAATTATGTGACTTCTGAAGGTAATTGGTTTCACCAGATCATATTTAGGGGCTTCATAGCAAAGGGGGTGAATACATACGCACGCACCACTTTTCCGCTATTCATTTTTTTGAATTTTTTGAAACAAGTTATTTTTTTCATTTCACATCACCAATTTTGACTATTTTGTGAAATCTAAATAGAAATCCATTTAAATTACAGGTTGTAGTGCAACAAAACAGGAAAAACGCAAAGGGGGATGAATACTTTTGCAAGGCACAATATATATACACAACACTCAACTAATGGAAATCTATTGTTTTCTTCACTATGACTGACTTTGTTGGTATTTTGACATGTAGACACACCCCAAACAGCCACACAACTGGCATTTTTATTGTGACCTATTCCTGGAAAAATAGGCTGTTTGCTGCGCTGCTCAGCCCACCTTCTCCCATACACACTGATATAAGTGCGATAAAGTACATCTATTTTCTCCAGGTGTGCTGTTAATACTATGGAGAAATGGGCAGAGTAAAAAAAAGGCCCATCGGTCGGGTATTCAGATCAATAGCAGTGTTTTTCCCTGTATTTATTTAGCAGTGGTGGGCTTCCGCTGCTAAATAGTTGCTGCCACTCCAAGAAATACATGTATGATATAAAAAATATATATAAAAAGATATAATTATAATATGTACAGTACCAGTCAAAAGTTTGGACACACCTACTTTTTCTTCAATTTTACTATTTTCTACATTGTGGAATAATAGTGAAGACATCAAAATTATGAAATAACACATATGGAATCATGTAGTAACCAAACAAGTGTTAAACAAATCAAATAATATTTTATAGCCACCCTTTGCCTTGATGACAGCTTTAGGCACTCTTGGCATTCTCTCAACCAGCTTCACCTGGAATGCTTTTCCAAAAATCTTGAAGGAGTTCCCATATATGCTGAGCACTTGTTGGCTGCTTTTCCTTCACTCTGCCATCCGACTCATCCCAAACCATCTCAATTGGGTTGAGGTCGGGGGATTGTGGAAGCCAGGTCATCTGATGCAGCACTCTATCACTCTCCTTCTTGGTAAAATAGCCCTTACACAGCCTGGAGGTGTGTTGGGTAATTGTCCTGTTGAAAAACAAATGATAGTCCCACTAAGCCCAAACCAGATGGAATGGCGTATCGCTGCAGAATGCTGTGGTAGCCATGCTGGTTAAGTGTGCCTTGAATTCTAAAATAAATAACAGACCGTGTCACCAGCAAAGCACCCCCACACCATAACACCTCCTCCTCCATGCTTTACAGTGGGAAATACACATGCAGAGATCATCCGTTCCCCCACACCGCGTCTCACAAAGACACAGCGGTTGGAACCAAAAATCTCCAATTTTGGACTCCAGACCAAAGGACAAATTTGCACCTGTCTAATGTCCATTGCTCGTGTTTCTTGGCCCAAGCAGGTCTCTTCTTCTTATTGGTGTCCTTTAGTAGTGGTTTATTTGCAGCAATTAGACCATGAAGGCCTGATTCACACATTCCCTTCTGAACAGTTGATGTTGAGATGTGTCTGTTACTTGAACTCTGTGAAGCATTTATTTTGGCTGCAATTTCTGAGGCTGGTAACTGTAATGAACTTATCCTCTGCAGTAGAGGTAACTCTGGGTCTTCCATTCCTGCGGCGGTCCTCATGAGAGCCAGTTTCATCATAGCGCTTGATGGTTTATGCGACTGCACTTGAAGAAATTGTCAAAGTTCTTGAAATTGTAATGTCTTAAAGTAATGACGGACTGTCGTTTCTCTTTGCTTATTTGAGCTTGGTATTTTTCCAAATAGGGCTATCTTCAGTATACCTCCCCTACCTTGTCACAACACAACTGATTGGCTCAAAAGCATTAAGAAGGAAATACATTCTTCAAATTAACTTTTAAGACGGCACACCTGTTAATTGAAATGCATTCCAGGTGACTACCTCATGAAGCTGGTTGAGAGAATGCCAAGAGTGTGCAAAGCTGTCATCAAGGCAAAGGGTGGCTATTTGAAGAATCTCAAATAAAAATATATTTTGATTTCTTTAACATGTTTTTGGATAATACATGATTACATATGTGTTATTTCATAGTTTTCATGTCTTCACTATTATTCTACAATGTAAAAAATAGTATAAAATAGAAAAACCCTTGAATGAGTAGGTGTTTCCAAACTTTTGACTGGTACTGTGTATATACACTACCGTTCAAAAGTTTGGGGTAACTTAGAAATGTCCCTGTTTTCGAAAGAAAAGCATTTTTTTTGTCCATTAAAATAACATCAAATTGATCAGAAAAACAGTGTAGACATTGTTAATGTTGTAAATGGCTATTGTAGCTGGAAAAGACTGATCTTTAATGGAATATCTACATAGGCGTACAGATGCCCATTATTAGCAACCATCAGTCCTGTGTTCCAATGGCACGTTGTGTTTGCTAATCCAAGTTTATCATTTTAAAAGGCTAACTGATCATTAGAAAACCCTTTGCAATTATGTTAGCACAGCTGAAAACTGTTGTTTGATTAAAGAAGCAATAAAACTGGCCTTCTTGAGTATCTGGAGCGTCAATAATTGTGGGTTTGATTACAGGCTCAAAATGGCCAGAAACAAAGAACTTTCTTCTGAAACTCGTCAGTCTATTCTTGTTCTGAGAAATGAAGGCTATTCCATGCGAGAAATTGCCAACGCTGTGTACTACTCCCTTCAGAGAACAGAGCAAACTGTCTATAACCAGAATAGAAAGAGGAGTGGGAGGCCCCGGTGCACAACTGAGCAAGAGGACAATACCATTAGTGTCTAGTTGAGAAACATGCGCCTCACAGGTCCTCAACTGGCCGCTGCATAAATGTAGTACCCGCAAAAACACCAGTCTCAACGTCAACAGTGAAGAAGCCGGACTCGGGATGCTGACCTTCTAGCAGAGTTGCAAAAAAAAAGCCAATCTCAGTCTGGCCAATAAAAATAAAAGATGGGATCTGCGATAAGGCTTTTTCTTTACGGTCCCGTTCTGTGAGTGTGTGGCCTACCACTTCGTGGTAGCCGTTTTTGCTCATTTCCATTTCACAATAACAGCACTTACAGTTGACCGGGGCAGCTCTAGCAGGGCAGAAATTTGACAAACTGACTTGTTGGAAATGTGGCATCCTATGACCGTGCCATGTTGAAAGTCACTGAGCTCTTCAGTAAGGCCATTCTACTGCCAATGTTTGTCTATGGAGATTGCATGGCTGTGTGCTTGAATTTATACACCTGTCAGCAACGGGTGTGGCTGAAATAGCCGAATCCACTAATTGGAATGGGTGTCCACATTCTTTTGTATACATAGTGTATTTTTAAATAAGATCATCTTTGAGAACTAACAATCACCAATAAAAACTAGACAGTCAGACAAAATCTAAAATTCCAAAAATGTCATGGCATGATTTTGTTATACTACTTGAGTCACTCAGAACATGGCAAAATGTGTAGAATTGCAGGAATTTTGAGTTAAAACAGCAACATTTTTTCTCTGCGGCCAAGAGGAAGGCCTTTAAAAAAAAATTGCCATGCCCAATTACCAAGCTTTTGCCGCAATATAATGACAATGAGAAGGAATTGGATAGAGTAAGACAGTGTATTCGTCTTAACTAGGGTGTATTCGTCAGGGTGTAGGTTTGGCAGCTTTCCATTCCCTTTATGGGTGTAGGGATAGCATTATATGGTGTGGGTTGTTGTTTAGAAATCCCAGCTGCCTCCGCCAAGTGAGAAAGAGATTTGAGTGTCACACTCACACCATCATAATGCGTTCCAAGATATGACAAATGGCTAAAGCTCTGCTAGTTGTCACTTTAATATGCAATTATCGGAGGGGCCCTGTATTTGTGGCCCGCTGCTGCTAAGTCTGATAAAGTCGAGACATTTCTCATTCCTTCGTTACCCAACAGTAATTTCCTGAGACAATAAAAGCCTCCTATTTACCATGGTACTAGATGAGGGTAGTAATCAGTGGTGTCCCTCGGAAGGCTAATGCACTGGAAATATATAAAAAAAGGGTTCAACTGCGAAGCTGTAAATCTGAGGCAAAGTGGGGACAGTCAGCTGCCACCCAGCAGCCCAGCCTTGGAGCAGCTGGGGTTGAAACAGTGCAGTTCCTGCCCCCCCCCCACTACACTCCCCACTCAGGGGCCTGTCCAGGGACCCAGGAAAGGGAGAGTGCATCCCCAGCCCACGCCGTTGGGCCTCGGCCCATTTCACACATTAAACACGCCTAATTCACGGTCCCTTCACACTTCACCTCCGCGGCAGAGGCAGCCGTAGCGGGTTGATGCCACAGAGCCACGCAGCATGAACCTCATATGTTCCCTTTTCTCGATGTGTAATGGCCTTCATGATTCGCCTCCTCTCCTCTCCCCTCGCCATGCCCTAATTATTATCATCTAGCCTCATCTGTGGCAGTGCCAACACACATTCGTTCAAAGCTTCCCTCTCCTCCTCACTGCCTTCCTCTCTTCATCACAGCGATAGGGCATCACAGCAACATCGTGCCACTACGCTTTAGTCATTTCCCATAGTAACAGGAGGAAAGCAAAAGGCGCGAGGCGACAAGCCCATAGGCTTAGTGTATGTATTCCTACTTGGCCATTTCAACATCATTCCAGCCCCCCTCATGAACCTTCTGTCATTGGAGGCTGTATACTGTGATGCTGTTAGTGAGGAAGAACCCCCCCCCCCCCCCCCCTCAATTTGCCTCTTGATTATAACAGTAATCCAGCCACCCTAGTCATAGACTGTTCTCTCTGCTACCGCACGGCAAGCGGTACCGGAGTGCCAAGTCTAGGTCCAAAAGGCTTCTCAACAGCTTCTACCCCCAAGCCATAAGACTCCTGAACAGCTAATCATGGCTACCCGGACTATTTGCACTGCCCCCCCACCCCATCCTTTTTACGCTGCTGCTACTCTGTTAAGTATTTATGCATAGTCACTTTAACTCTACCCACATGTACATATTACCTCAACTACCTCAACTAGCCGGTGCCCCCGCACATTGACTCTGCAACGGTACCCCCCTGTATATATAGCCTCCCTACTGTCACTTTATTTTACTTCTGCTCTTTTTTTTCTCAACACTTTTTTTGTTGTTGTTTTATTCTTACTTTTTTTGTTTAAAATAAATGCACTGTTGGTTAAGGGCTGTAAGTAAGCATTTCACTGTAATGTCTGCACCTGTTGTATTCGGCGCATGTGACCAATAAAATTTGATTTGATTTGATTTGATAATTCATTGCTTGTAAACAAAGTCACTTCGGTATTAAAGGGGAATTGACGTCCTGTTCCATTGGCAGGAAAAGCTTTTAAAGTATAATAGGTCATTCATTTAGTCACATAACTGTAAACAAGGGGGGCATGGTCTGTTCAGCCCTGGGTACTGAGATTTTGTCAATTTCTCTGCAAGGTATTTACAGCGTGTGCTATTAATGTATTTGGCTACAATTAAAGTCAAATGTTGACAGTTAATGTTTACCTTCATTAATGGGATATTGAAATAGCTAATAATTGCATAAATTATTTTAGATCTACATGGTCATAGGACATCACTTCATCAAGTGATTAAATTAACCTCATTTCTCTGTTACATTGAACTTCAATGTGGGTGAGTGTTTCTTTTAAAATAGTTCCTTATTCATATTGATGTTGTTGAAGTCTCAAATTACACTTAAATTACTTTAGAAGGTAATGTCAGTTTTTTTAAAGAAGAAAGTGCTTGTTGACCTGTTGATATCAGCCTGCATATAAAGATGTGTTTGAGAAAACAAAAATAGTTGTTTTTCTAGAACCACGCCGAGACCAGGGCTGCCGGAAAGCGTTTGGCGAAGCGGCAAAACGATCACGTTTTACAAAAGGAAAGCCAGTCACGTTGCAGACACCAATGCCGCCCTACCGGTGAGCTAAACACCTTTTTCTCCCGCTTTGAGCATAACTACTGAGTTGCTACTGAGGTGGGCTATGTGCTTACTTTCTCCACGGAGGACTATGCAAGTCATTCAAGCGTGTTAACTCTCGCAAGTCCGCCGGCCCAGATGGTATCCCTAGCCGTCCCTCAGAGCATGTGCAGACCAGCTATCTGTTGTGTTTCTGACTTTCTTTCTCTCTCTAGCTCAGGCTATCCCCACCTGTTTCAAGATGTCCACTATCATCCCTGTGCCCAGAAAATGGAAAGTAACTGAACTGAATGACTACCGACCCGTAGCATTCACTTCCATCATCATGAAGTGCTTCGAGAGGCTAGTCAAAGACAACACCACTTCCTCCCTCCCTGATACACTCAACCTTCTCCAATTCGCCTACCGCACTGACAGATCCACGGACGATGCAATTGCCATTGCACAGCACACTGCCCTCACCCACCTGAACAAAAGGAATGCATAGTGAAGATGCTGTTCATCGATTACAGCTTGGCCTTCAATACCATAGTGCCCTCTAAGCTCATCACAAAGCTCACGACCCTGGGACTGAACTCTGGGTCCTAGACTTCCTGATGAGCCGCCCCAGGTGGTAAAGGTAGGCAACATTACCTTCTCCACACTGATCCTCAACACGGGGGCCCCACAAGGGTGCGTCCTCAGTCCCCTCCTGTACTCCCTGTATACCCACGACTGTGTGGCCTCAAGTTCGCTGATGACACGACAGTAGTAGGCCTGATTAACAACAACGACAACATGGCCTACAAAGAGGAGGTAGGCACTCTGACGGCATGGTGCCAGGTAAACAACCTCTTCCTCAACGTCAGCAAAACAAAGGAGCTGATTGTGGACTTCAGGAGGAACTAGGTTGGGCCGTGGAGACGGTCAAAAATGTCAAGTTCCTTGGCGTACACATCTTCTTATCAGCTGAAATGGTCAAACCACACGGACACCTTGGTGAAGAAGGCACGGCAGCGACTCTTCAACCTCAGGAGGCTGAATAAATTTGGCCTGTCCCCAAGGGCCCTCAGTGTTCTACAGGAGCACCATCGAGAGCGTACTGTCGAGGTGCATCACAGCCTGGTACGGCAACTGACGCTGACCGCAAGGCTCTACAGAGGGTGGTACGCTCAGCCAATCATACCATTGAGTGCTCCCTGCCTGCCTTCCAGGACATCTACAACACCAGGTATCGCAGGAAGGCCAAAAAGATCATCAAGAACCTCAGCCACCCGAGCTACCGCCTGTTCTCCCTGCTTCCATCACTCAGACGCGGGCAGTACAGGAGTATCATGGGAAAAAACGGTCAGACTGGCCAATAGCTTCTACCCCCAGACTATCAGGCTGCTGAATAGCCACTAGGCAGCTAACTGTTCCCCCTCTTCCCCATATTGACAAATCGAAAACTGGTACATAAGTATTCAGACCCTTTGCTATGAGACTCGAAATTGAGCTCAGGTGCATCCTCTTTCCATTATTAATCCTTGACATGGTTCTACAACTTGATTGGAGTCCACCTGTGGTAAACTCATTTGATTGGATATGATTTGGAAAGGCACACACACCTGTCTATATAAGGTCCCACAGTTGACAGTGCATGTCAGAGCAAAAACCAAGCAATGAGGAATTGTCCGTAGACAGGATTTTGTCAAGGCACAGATCTGGGGAAGGGTACCAAAACATTTCTGCAGCATTGAAGGTCCCCAAGAACACAGTGGCCTCCATCATTCTTAAATGGAAGAAGTTTGGAACCACCAAGACTCTTCCTAGAGCTGGCCGTCGGCCAAACTGAGCAATCGGGGGAGAAGGGCCTTGGTCAGGGAGGTGACCAAGAACCCGATGGTCACTCTGACAGAGCTCTAGAGTTCCTCTGTGGAGATGGGAGAACCTTCCAGAAGGACAACCATCTCTGCAGCACTCCACCAATCAGGCCAGACGGAAGCCAATCCTCAGTAAAAGGCACATGACAGCCCGCTACGAGTTTGCCAAAAGGCACCTAAAGACTCTCAGACCATGAGAAACAAGATTCTCTGGTCTGTTGAAACCAAGATTGAACTATTTGGCCTGAATGCCAAACGTCACGTCTGGAGGAAACATGGCACCATCCCTACTGTGAAGCATGGTGGTAGCAGCATCATGCTGTGGGGATGTTTTTCAGAGGCAGGGACTGGGAGACTAGTCAGGATCGAGGCAAAGATGAACGGAGCAAAGTACAGAGACAGTGCTCAGGACCCCAGACTGGGGCAAAGGTTCACTTTCCAACAGGACAACGACCCTAAGCACACGGCCATGACAACGCAGGAGTTGTTTCGGGACAAGTCTCTGAATGTCCTTGAGTGGCCAAACCAGAGCCCGGACATGAACCCGATTGAACATCTCTTGAGAGACCTGAAAATAGCTGTGCAGCAACACTCCCTATCCAACCTGACAGAGCTTGAGAGGATCTGTAGAAAATAATGGGAGAAACAAATACAGGTGTGCCAAGCTTGTAGCATCATACCCAAGAAGACTTGAGGCTGTAATCAATTTTAGAATAAGGCTGTAACCTAACAAAACGTGGAAAAAGTCAAGGGGTCTGAATACTTTCCGAAGGCACTGTATAAATATAATTTTTAGTAGTGTCTCTTTCACGCTCTGGGCATAATAATTTCACTGTACCCTGCGATTACATCTGTGACCCTGTGCATGTGACTAATAAACTAATCTAATCTAATACCGTATAAGGTCCTGAGTTTTACCTGATTTGCCTCATGATTTGTCAACTCCTCGCACACAATTTCTCTGTCATTCACATTGGCGTGATGCTGCAGGCTCTTTGCATGGCTTGACCAATCAGATTCACGGAAATCGCAGGTCACACGGGCCGGGACAAAGCTCAAGACACGTGCTCCACTTTCCTCTGGTATTTATTTAGCAAGTGTGATAACACATCACTCCCGACAGACACAAGCAAAAATTATTACATCAATGTAGCAGCCTATACACCTAAACATTAGCGATCTGACATGCTGTATTGCATGGAAACAATAACATTTTTCAGTCTGATCAACTGTAGGCTATTAACAACAGCAGCTGCATAGTCTAGCCTACTATGCTCCCTGTCCCTCTGGCCAGGGTAAACGAAGAGGTAACATTGTGTATTTATAGCCCATTTGTTTGTGAGAAAAGGGTTGTAAATGGGATTAAAAAATATATATATACACTACCGTTCAAAACTTTGGGGTCACTTAGAATGCTGACCTTCTAGGCAGAGTTTCAAAGAAAAAGCCATATTTCAGACTGCCCATCTTAATCTTTTCTTTTTATTGGCCAGTCTGAGATATGGCTTTTTCTTTACAACTCTGCCTAGAAGGTCAGCATCCCGGAGTCGCCTCTTCACTGTTGACGTTGAGACT